CTTTCCCTCTGCATGCCTGTGTCTGGTATGTAGGTCTCTATACATAAACATACACAGATGTAAATATACACACCCCTGCAGGCATACACGGGTACATAGACTGACATACATACACACACATATATATTTTATAGGACTAAGCCTCAAATTCTAATCTGTGAGGCCTTGTGAAATGCACTATCTTTACAGTGGCAGCTGTTTTTTTTTTTTTTTTTTTTTTTTTTCCCTTTGTGCTAGAAGTACCTTTTAACATTAGGAGGTAATTTTGTCCAGCAGGCATCTGTCAGAATCTATATACAGAAAATAACCTCACTCTAAAGTGCCCAGGCTTCACCACAACCCACAACTCCTTGAAAGAGGCAAACTCATCCTGTTCTGAGACCACTGCATTTCTCTCCACATCCCAGTTTGCAATAGATCTTTATGCAACAGAGCTATTTTTAGTTTAAAATGAGCTTCCACTGCCCTCCAGCCTTCCTGCCGAGGAACTGCCGCAGAGCCAAGGTCTAAGCAGAAAAAATGTTTACACATATTTTTGGTTAACTCAAATCTACATTTCTTTTCATGTTTTTGAAAGCCTATGAAAGGTTATCTTGTTAGAAATAAGCACCCTGTTGTAACAAAAGACTACTGAACGTTGACAATGGAAAGCAAAGTAAAATATCCGCAATACAGTAGCTGAGTATATCCTGCTGATTTCAAATGAACAGTTTTGTTCTTTTTATTCCTCTTGCCTCAACACTTTTTAATGAGTTGACTGACCTCATTAGGGTTATAGACCTCTGTATAGCGGTGCACCTTGGTTGGCTTTAAGTCCTCAAACGTACATAAGACAACATGCCTAGGCGTACTGAGCCTTAGGAAAGGAACTTAGGGTAGGTCAAACAGGCCGAGTCAGGGCCTTATTTACCCTGAATAAGAAATGCCCACGTAGGACAAAATGTAGACTCATTTTGGAAAGCAGAGATCTCTCAAAAGGCAGTCAACATATTCCAAGTTCCACTGAATCTTTGTAACACCACCTTTCAATGACAGATTCTGCTTAAGCTGTATGCTTAACTTTAAAATGCCTTGCATGATGACACATGCAGCCTAAATACCAGGATTTGCACACTAGCTACAGCTTTCTGCTGAAAACTCTGCTAGCTTTGAGCAGCAGGCAACCTACCAGGCACAACTTTGTACAGTCACTAAAATACTGGAATATGTTAAAGGCAATCCATCTTCAATGAATTACTAGCTACCTATGCATCAAAAATACTCCACCTTAAAAACACTCATTGTCTGGCTAGGACTGTTTCTCTTACTTTTTATTTTTCTTTTTCCTAATTTTTTCTATTTAAGGAAATAGGGTATTATTTTGCAAGATTTTTCATTAAGCATCCTAATACATAAATGCTTTATGAGAACATGTGCACCTTACTTCACATAAGCACTTTATGCAGTAACATCCGACAAAAATGGTACCAGCATATGAACCTTTTAACTTTTCACTAAACCGCAATTACTTACAGGAATGTTGATGAAAACAGTATCAAACTCTGATGCTGACAAAAACCTTCTCAATGGCACCATGAAAAACTGTCAGGGAAAAAAAATATATATATATATATATGTATACACACACACACACCCCAACTGTTTCATTATTTTCTAGGCTGTAAATAACAATTATAAAATATGTAAAGAACAATTTGGAGTAGTATCTTACTTTCTCTATCGATTCCAGTGTTTCAGTGTATTTCTCTTCAGTTTGCTTTATTTCAGCAAGACAACAGCTTCTTATGTCATTTTCAGTATGTTTCTGCAATTACAGTGAAGTCAAGTTTAGGTCATTATTAGGTACATAATGGACAAAAAAACGGATTTGTTTAAAAATAGGCAATTAGGACAATAACTGCTTCCTGATTTTTTTTCCTCAACTAGTACAGCCTCTAAAGATGGTAGCAATTACCAATATTATTTTTATTGTTCAATTAGATGATGTTTATAAGTTTTACCAAAAATTTAGCATTAAAGGAATATTATGAACAGTTAGTTAATGTTTAGGTATAAAAGGCTTAAATGTCTGCACATACTTTTAGAGTTGAAGGATAAAGTCACATTCAATTTAGATCCAGACTAGGAAGCCTTATTTAAAACACTGAGCAGTTAATAATTCCATTAAACTTAATGGGACTAACTTATATAAGTAACTTTCCATTGCCATAAATATTGGATTCGATCTAATCCCTGCCCTTATTTACAGTTTTCCCTCTGTGATCACGAGAGTTTTTTCTTCGGATAAAACACAAAGCTGTTGTCAAATTAGGAAACACAGTAACCTCTTAACATGTGCATTTCTTTTCAAAGAGACACTGGGATTTTTCTGTGCAAATCAGCAGACGCGTAGGAAATTGAAGCAATTATCAGGACTCTATAAAAATAATTTAAAAGCATGTGCATTTACCGTGCGTTGGAAGAGAGGGGGGAGTTAACCATAGGCAAATATGGTCAATAAGGTGCTGAAATTTGATATCATTTGGCTTTTAGTTATAGGTTTAGTTTTCTTTTGTGAGCTCAATACTCTTCAAACCAAGAAATGTATTTGCATCAACATAAGTTTTTGTACCCTATAGAAGTTGAGATCCAATTGTAACATTTATGCTTTTGCTGCACACTAAATCATATAAGCAATACAAACAAAACCCAAGGATCACACTTAATTTACTTCAGTTTTGTGTTAATTTAACACAAACAGATCATTCCCACCAGTGCTTGTGGCAAAATTTACTAACATAACAATCTCCTATCTATACCACAAACTACTGCAATTAGAGTATGACAAAAGCAGAGATGGGGAGAGAAAAAAAAAAAAAAAGAGAGAAATACTTCTGGCAGTACTTACACATTAAGTGAGGAAAATCTGTCTATGAAGGTCTACTTTGCAAGATAATATCAATAAATTGAGAATAAGGGTTATTTAAGCAAAAGATGCATTTTTGGCCAGCTAATGCACACTTTGAAGAGTACTGATTTCTGTTAAAAATGTGCTTGAAGTTGTCCTGCAATAATGCATTTATACAGGGAAGTCTCACATAGGATCCAGATGAAAGAACTGCATAAAAGTGTCATATTAGCATGCAGTAGTTTTATAAATCTGAAGAGCAAATCACCACAAACTAGAAATAATTACCATATTTGAGAAACGTGTCAGACAAAGAACTGTAACATCTCCATACATTTCATGTTGTGGAAGAATATTTTGCTGTAACATTTTCATGTTTCAATTACTTTTTATAATGATCAGTCTGAAAGATCTAGGCTTAAGATGCAGCTAAAATAAGAATGTCAAGCTTCTGATTACTTGACTAATCATTTGCTAGAAATAAAGATATCAGAGTGACATTTGAATCAGGAAAGAATCAGAGAGAGTTTGCACATTACAAACTGTCCAAGATTACCAAATTCTACTGTGGAAAAAAACTTCTATTATAGGTAACCCAAAACTTACTGTGTTTTGAATTTCAGCATAAGATTACAAAAAAAAAAAAAATCGCAGACAAGATCAGAGTAAAAGATTTCTATGATCTGAGTTCGTACCTAAAAATTCCTACCTGCAAGTGAATGGGATTTGACTATAAACAAAACAGTATCTAGTTTTTCAACTGGGTTTCACTGAAGTGCCAAGAATAGAGGTTCAACCAAATTAATCAAAATGTGCAAAACTAGCATCAGTACCTGCTAACTCCTCCATGATATATATTTATTATAAGATTTGCATTAGCAGCACAACAATCCAGAAAGTAATATAACGTTACTCTAAAACTAACCTGTTATTATGACACAAAATAAAATAAGGTAATAATCTTCCCAAGGAAAAGAGTCTTTTCAACAGATAATGGTAATTTTGAGGATTTTTTAAAAAAATTTATCAACAGGATACAAAAGGGGAAAAAAAATTAAGAAAGTCTCACTTCTTCCTTTAACTATGTAACTAAAGAGGAATTTGGAAAAGCAGAGACTGAATTTCTAACTTGAAACAACATGAAGCAAAACATTACAAGAGAAAAAAAACAATCATCTTTACCGTCTAAAAAAAACCATGGACTATCATGGCCAAACACCAATATCTTCCAGACCTTAAAAGACCTCTAGGAAGGGCAGACAAGTACATTATTAGAAGAGTCTGTATTGTTTTCAGAACAGTTGTGAAAACTGACCATAAAGTCTTTATATGGTATACTATGCACTGTAGCATAGCTCAGCACAAATAGCCTAATGATCAGAAAAGGACTACATGGTTGAATAAGGCATGAAAAGATTATTGATTGTCATTTCCAGATTAGTTGTTCCAATTAAAAATTATTTTTATTTTGGCTAGAAAGTAGGACACTTGGAAATAAGCACAATAAGCTCTATTTTTAATTCCTCTTAATTAGCTAGTATCTTAATCTTCATAATTGACTGAATCTTAGCAAAATATGTCACTACCTTATTTCAGTAAAAAATTACATTTCTTTCAAAAAACTACGTTAGTGTTTGACCCTTTGCCAGGGGAGACCCTACCAAGTCTTACACAGGAGCCAACGCACTGCACATGTGACAGCTCAGCAAAACTAGCCACTTCATGAACATTAAACATGAGAAACAACTGCAATAGGTGAAAAATAGAGGAAGTGGAAATCATACAGGTTGCTGTGCTGCTTCATCCTTCATGAGGTCTTCATATACCTCCCCACCTTCATCTTCTCCATAGACACAATCATATAACTCTTCATCTTCACCAGTTTCACTGAAAAATAAAAGGAAACGCAATGGAAAAAAAAAATCAGCACATCTAAATTACCATGTGAGCTCTGCAAGGAAGCACTTCTCATAGGAAAAGATTGCTTGAGGAAACATAAACAGAGTAACGGATCTATCTTAGAAAATAGCTCATTAAGGGAAATTAAGTACTTTGATTTTCTTACCTCAGCACATTTAAAATATGATTGTATGAAATCAACACAACGCTGATGACTTGTTTTTTGTCTCCCAATTCTCAACTTGCATGCACTTCAGAAAAGTTCCTTAAGAACAGTACTTTTAGATACTGCCAATACCACAAACATTAACAGTTTTTTATATATATATATATTCCCTTCTTCGCCTGTATTCGGACATGTTTTCTTAAAAAGGTGCAAAACATTCAAGGGGCTTGTAATGAAAATGGCCCCAGTCTGTTGGTGGTCTATGACAACACGCTCCAGAGGGAAAATCCCCTGGATGCAATTATTAATGAACCTGCATATATATAAAAAAATAAGAATAGCTAGCTCTTCCTAGGTCTATTTCTACTCTCTTTGAACTTCCAGTTTAGTTAATTCCCTAACACCAACTCTGCAGAACTGCTTATTTTAACAAAGTTGTTGAGTCATACAGAGCAAAAAGCAGTTATGAGGCAGCTAGTCAACTGCAGGGGACAAGGAAGGATTTTGCAGGGAGGCCCATAGGCTGGGCAATGCCAAACATCATGGGATTTTTGCCTACTTAAAAGCACAGTAAGGAAATGGAGCCATGTTGCACAGAGTGATGGTTTCAGAGCATCCCAGCCAGCTCTGAACATGGTGGTCAGAAGGCCCGAGGCAAGAGAAAGCAGGAGGGGAGAGCAACAACCTGAGAGCTGGTGAATGCAAAGCTTTGGGAGAAGGAGCTTTCAAGCTAGCAGCTCAGATCTCTCACAATCCATTGGGAATTGTGTTGGACCAGAGCCAAGAACTTCACCATGGGATACAAGACCATTTTTTCCCCTACCCCTGAACTGAGTTGTTTATCTCAAATATGTTTTTTCCTCACCAATCTTCTAAATAAGGTTGTAGTCTGCCATGTAATACTAGGCAGTATGTTCACATCCATCTCACTTGTTGCCCAAAGCCAACGTGAATATTTGCAGTAACTAATAATCCTGCAAACACACTCCCAGAGAAGTAAATGTACTCACAGGAAATGCCTGATTGACTTCAGGAAAACTACACAACCCACTTGCAATGCAAACACGTATCTTCTTTGCAAGATCAAGACAATTGCTTTAACTGATACTGTAATCCTATCAAAGCATTCTGACACATCAGACAGATGATTCAAAGATGCATTTGTGATTTATTTTGCTACCAACACCCTTTATGAAGGCACACTTTACCAATCATTTAGATTTCAAAATTAATTCTGATCAGTGTAATGACTAACCAAATCTTTTAATTCAAATAAAATTTCCCATTAAAAATGTGTATTGAATAACATTACATAAATAATATTGTATAACTAAAAGCCAAAAATTTTTCGTTTAGCTGAAGATTTACAACATACTCTATTAGATCAGGAAGACCTTTGTAGATGTCTTCATCATCAATGCTTTCTTCTGTAGGGAAGGGCCTATAGAAATAAAAATAGCGTAAATTGTATTATACTGCTCTAATCACAAAGGTCTTTTTGTTTTGCTCCTAAAACGCTAACATTAAGAAATACTAAGTTATGGGGAGTATGCTTCCCTCTTTCTCTAAAGAACAGTATACAAACATTATATTGATAATTTGATATTTAACATACTAAAAATGCTACTGAGTGGGGTCAATATAAATCACCAACAAGGTACATCATGGTCAGATTTTTGAATACTCAATAGTAGCAATAGTGGTACAGTGAAATATGAATTTTTAGCACCGCACATACGTTACACAGCTGGCTAGAAATTTTTGTTTCTAAGAGTCATACGTGATGGTATGACTACAGAAATAAACCCCTTAAACTGGAAAAATAACACAGGTTAATCACACGACACTTCAATTTTTCACCTTTTCTCATAGCCGATGACTATAGTTCATGAGGCCACAGGTTTGTTTTAAATGGCAATCCCATAGACCTGCAATTTTTTTGATTTTCAGAAGAGAGAGGAGAAAACCCATTCCTCTCCCCACAGATCAGTGCTGCAGCAGCCTGATGTATGACTTGTGTCTTAAAATTATTTCAAGTTCTATAATACCACTCTGTTCACCCTGCGTAGAAATACTAGAAGACCTCACATACCTCAGTAAATATGCCTGACATAGAAGATGCCCTGCTGAGCTCAGGGTCCACAGAGCTCAAGCTCCCTGGAGCTCAAGGTCCACAGTTTGGACTAGCTGTGTATCAGAGCAACACCACTTGTAAGCAGTGAAGTGCTGGCTGGAAAACACCGGCTGCCAGGATGCTCTGCATCTCTTCATTCCCTTCTTCGCCAGTATTTGGACATGTTTTCTTAAAAAGGTGCAAAACATTCAAGGGGCTTGTAATGAAAACGGCCCCAGTCTGTTGGTGGTCTATGACAACACGCTCCAGAGGGAAAATCCCCTGGATGCAATTATTAATGAACCTGCAAGCTGGTCAGGGCACCAAACGGAAGATGGGGGAAAGGTTCCTAGAGCACTAGTTTCAGATATATGATTATTCCCAGCTTTTAGAAAAAAAGGGCTGGGCTTTCTGCTATACCATTGTCTACCCAAGGCCTCAGCATTTAAACACAGCTTTACAGGCCTATAGTTTCCTGCATCATCCCTTTCCAGATAAATTGGCAGAAAGATCTCTGCTTCACTGATGATCCAGCAACCCATTAAGAGCTCTGTGACTCCCTGTACTGTTTCTAACGGTCTTCCCAAGGAGGACCATGCAAGGGGCATTATTCCCATAAAACTCTACGGTTGTAACATACCTTATTCCTGTGCCGACTGCTATAGGAGTGCGAGAAAGCTTTGAGAGGGTTTCTATGACCTGCAGGAAAAAAAAAAAAAAAAAAAAGGTAAGGAAAAACACATGTTTAGTCGTAGAACAGAGGCGATAAACTTCACATTTTGCTCTCCAGTGTTTAGTTATCAGCAAGATGGTTTCACAAATGCCACAGACATAGACATCCAGTGCCCACAGCCCACTACCCAGTACCTGCTCTTCAGAGCTTTTGATTCAGGGGAAATAAAGGGAGCAAAATGAAAAGATTTGTCTTATTTACATGAATTATTTTATTTATGAGTCTTAGCTAAAGTAAATAACATTTAACAGCCACATCATTCAGTAGCTTTAAACTAGATATTCAATTTTCAGTTGGACATGGGTGCAACCATGACCTGATTTTATCTTGCAGGCTGCTGCAGCTGGTAAAACCGGAGCTCTTCATCAGCGCTTTTCCAAACAGGGGCCAGAGGAGGGAGCCAAATACCAAGCGAGCAGATGCCACCTAGTCAGGACTGTTTGCAGGGTCATCTCTGAGGAGGCAAACGAGAAAAGCAGTGCCACAGCCTAACTGCAAACTAGGTTTATTTTCAGTAGGCAGCAGCGTTTGGGAGCTTTCTTTCCAAGAAAAGCTGGCTTCGGAGGGCTCAGGGGGATCCCTCCGAGAAAGAACCTGCAGGAGGCCATGGAGGGAGATGCGGGCAGCATCACAGGATTGCCTCATGTCGGCCACAAGCCCAAGCCCATGCTACCCTCTGCCTACCCAGGCCCCTTTGCCATGGGCCAGTTTTCCTGCTTTGGCCACTACCATGTCATCAGGCCAGACATGCAAGAGAGTGACAGAGTCAAAAGGACAAGCATAGCGACCCTCTTCGTGTCCAGGGCAAAGCTACCCAACTCTTTGGCTCTTACAGCTTAAAAGTTGTATTGAATGAAAGCTGAATTTCCAAGGCAGTTTGTATTTGCAGCATTAGATTTTAGGCATAGCAGTTCCTTAAATTCCTTGAACAATTCTGAACAACCTCTACAATTAAAACTATTTAATTTTGAAGCCCTAATTACAAGACTAACCTGATGATAAAACACACCATATGAGAAAAGTAGATTTCTCAAAGGAAGGACAATGGTACATTTACAAAGAAAAAATGGCAAAACAAAAACCACACAGAATAATCACCAACTGCAGGGCTTAAACTGAAGTGAAAGAGTCTCCTAAACAAATCAGGTTTCATTTGTAGATAAGGAAGTTTCAGAACAAAAGCAGCTACAATATTCCCATGAACAGAAAGTTTGGAGTTCATCTGTTACTGTAAAAAATAATGCCATAAAATCAACCAATTTTAATTTTTGCCTCACAGAAATGGAAAAGAAAGAAATATGCTGTGAACTTACTCAAAGCCACAGACAAATTCCTCAATGAACAGAAAAATTCCATCACAGACTAGGCAAAAAAAAAAAAAAAGTGAATCTAGTTATTTGACTAAAGTTAACTGCCTAATGGCATTAGACAAGAAGTGAAAACTACAAGGTTCCTTTAAAGGAGTCTTGGTACTTTGGAACCAGGTGATTGCCGATTTAGGCACCTCTGCCTCTGCCTACCTGGAAGACCCTCTGAACGCAGAACTGGGTGAGAACTGCAAGACACATGAAACCAGCTACTATGGGGAGTGCACTGAAAATTCAATAGCAGCAGAATGACATGGCCTGACAGATGGGAAGATAACAATCAGCAAGGCCACAGGAAGAGAGGTTTAATGATTATCGAAAAAAGAGGGGCAAGTTCTTTGAACTAACTATCCCTTTCACATTTAAACATGTCTCAGCACATGATGTCGTCTTCAAATTACGCCACCCTTGCAAAACTTTTTTTCCTTACAGGATTCTCATTCACCTAGTACAATCAAACCTTGCAGAGGTACAGTTTATTCTTCATAGCCAATTATAATTGTTTCAAGACAATATGAAAAGATTTGTACAAGAAACCATCAATATTAGGGAGATACTCTAGGAAGCAGCATTCCCAAAACATCCTACCAAATTACAGAAACCATAGCAAGAGTGGGAAAATAAACAGGTTGGAAGGAATCTCTGCCAGAAACTGATGCAAACTTTTTATTTTGGGAGGAGAGAGAGAAAAAAAAAAAAAAAAAAAAGAACACACACACACACCACTGAAAAAGTCAGAAAAAGTGTCTAAGAGAACATCCATACCACAAGAAGAGAAAATGGAACTAAATGACCTGAGAAATCCCAATGTGGCAATCATGGGTTGGGTGCATGGAACACCTTTGACTGGGGCTAACAGGATTTTATCGCCAAATGCAAAATTAGCAGTCTTCATGGCTTTTTTTTTTTTTTCCCTTTTCTAATGTGTGTACAAAGCCCAGAACAACAGGGCTTCACCAGCTGGGACTGCCCTAAAACAACTGTGCAAAGTGCCCTCACACCTTTGGACACATACTGCTACCTGAAATAGCAAGTGGGAAATAACACTGAGTAAATATTTGTGTTTATGTTCTAGATATCTGTGATAGGTTAGAAAACATCCAAGTCGCACTCTCTTCAAGAAGACAGCAACATCCTGGTTAGTTTCTCAGTATGTAAGCAGTTTATGAAACGCAGGGCTTGGGTGCAGCCGTGGCTGCTGGTGAGGCCCATCCAGCCATGGCCACGCATTCGCAACTGTCATCCTGCTTCCTACCCCAGGAGCAGCTACCACAGCTAATGGTTTTTGGCTCACTAATTACTGCTGACTCACTGCTGTAAATCAGTCTCTCCAGTGTATGTAAGCACTTCTACATCCCTTGCCGAAACACTCTTTTGTAATTTCCTGCAACAGCACTCCTAGCTAAACCATGGCAGATGCACTCCTGGCCGTGCTTACAGCAGCAGCACACTAGAGGGACTGTTCTACTTCTTTCCACAGCGCTAGACACAGACACCGAGTTTCGCAAAGTACGCTGATACCAATGAGAAAGACCATGTTTGCAGGCTAGGTCGTCGAAAAAGTTAAGTTTCCAAGCACTTAAATCAGGGTAAATCTGATTTAGACACAGCAGAAGTCCTCAAGATTTCATAAGCTGATCTATGCATTCAGAAGTCTGACATCTGGATAAAATTAGCTGAGACAACATCATCTCAGCAGAAAGTACAAAACTACTGTTAGCTGCCTCACAGAAGGACTTTTCTGCCCATGTTTGACAAAAACTTAGTATTCTTCACTTTGGTGTACAAAATGAGCATAATTCTAACCCTTGCCATTTCAAGAATCAATTCCTTCAAAGGCTAAGTCTAAAGGACATTCATATTTACACTGGCAAAAACTGCATTTGCTCAAAACTCTTACCAAGACAATTTGTCAGTGTCTCATGCTCAAGATACTTCAAAGCCCGGATGGCCACTCCTGCTCCCTTGCTGAGGTGCTTTCCACTAAACTGTTTTCACTCATACACAGGATTACGGAGAGAGAGGAAGGAGAGAGAGGAGAGGAAAAAAAAAAAAAAAGAATCATCTCACTTTGCTCATCCGTCACTCAGTGATAACATGAAATTTTGGGGTTTTTTTTGTTTGTTTGTTTGTTTTCCTCAAACACACTCATAGCAAAAGAGAAATTTTTATCATTTGCTACTCTGAGTAAATATCACAGTTGACAGATGACAGACAGCCCCTGATTAAAACTTCATTTGGCCAGAAGGCGGGGGAGGATGGATTATCACAATCCAATATTACCTTTGGGGTGAAAAGACTTTCAGAAACGACCAAATATACATCTGAAAGTAGCTTATCCAACAGATGTGAAAAAGGACATTTAGCCAGACAACTGCAGGGTGACTACCCAGCTGCTGATGTAAAGAACATATTAGTTCAAGCAAAGGCTGCTATTAGGTTATGTGGAAGATTTTCTCTCCATCTCCTTTGCTCTGTATTACTATTCTATGTTGGTTCAGGTTAGATTTTCATCAAACCAAAAATAAAATAACCTGGCAAAGGAGAAAGGATGAGGGGTATTTTTTTGGGGGGGAGGGGGGGGTCTAGCAGGACCTCTAGCAGGTCCTTACTAAGCAAATGGGAAATTTCAAACATCAAAGATACAGATACCTCTACACCAAACACAGCTGTGGCACACACTGAGGTGTCCAAGTCATACACACATAGACCACCCTCATCCACATTTAATTATAAACATCAGTGACAGCAGAAGTCAGCATGTAGAAATATAAACCTCTGGTCTTGCATATGCAAAGCTCCCTATATATCTTGATATTTTTTCATTCAAACAGTGAAACATAAGCCTTAGGTGTGGAGTACTAGTAACTGCAATACAAAGGAAGGCTTCCTTAAACTCATGAACTTACTTTCCACATGGGCAGTCACCAGCTGGGGGTGTTGCCCCTTTCCTCACCAACAGCTACACTAATTCTGGAGCATGGTCCACATCCATTCCTCCAGCTCCACAACTCTTCTCTGTCTTCTTCCCCCAAAAATACAAGCCAACATATCTCAAACCCATTTCCATTCTATCTCTTCAGCCTTGCCTTCCTCCCCATTTTGTATGTAAGCTAACTTCAGAAATGCAAACTAGAGGAGTTTCAAAGGCTGGGGGAACCAACAACTCTAAAAGCTGCAAGACGTCCTGCGAAGTCCAGTACAAGGCAGAGGCATGTCAAGAAGGTTATGCAGTAGTGAACACTTGCATCTTATTTCACTGCTGGACAGAGGCATTTCACACCCTGCAGCATCTCAGAAGAGCTCTAAGCTGCACCAAGTAACTCCTGGTTTCACATATCAACAGCTTAGGAGTAGTTGCAGTCTCCTCCAGAGCAGTTAAAGCAGAAGCATTAAAACATAGTAGCCAGCAACACCAAGGGGCAGGCTGGATCTCCCGCTAACCAACATGCACCTCCACCTTTCAAAGCTCACTGAATGTTTTCCACATTTTAAGCTTTTGTGTTGGGAGCGATATCTCAGCTCACTTGAAATCCTGAATCAAAATACTGTAGATTGAACTACATGATCATGAACACAGAATTCCAAAACAAAGAAAT